ATTCGCATACTTTTAGGTAATCAATACCCAAGATTACTTTACTACTTAATACCCTTCTCAATACCCATCACAATGTTAACTTAGGATTCGGTTTTCCTTTGCGTTCCCTTTCGTATCTACTCACATACAGTCACCTTATGCAGGCAATGCAATGCTGTCATCGCCGCGGTATTTTACGGCACGGGAATACTTTGTCAAGAGATCGGGCTTTATTCCCTGCCCCGATGGTAAGTGCTACTAAATTGAAGAGAACAGCTTCATGGACTTAACAAATGCGAATCGAAACCCCGTCATACAACATAGCAAACGCAACTTAAACTGCGATGCATCTGCATGCACCTCGCCTCCTACACCACCCACCCCACCGAACACAGCCTTGACGTATGAAACATCGCTCACCCTGGCATCATTGCCGCACATGCCCACGCCGCGCCGCGTCTGCCGACCCAGGCGCCGGCGGCGACCCTGTGTGTAATCTGCCGAGCCGCCGATTCGGACTTGTCATGCAGAGCCCGCCGCTGTGTTTCAATGGCGGGTCGCACCGGTCAGACAGACCTCAGACTGCCGTGTTTACGTCCCCGTTCGCACCCGGCCAGATGGCGAAATCCAAGTGCGATCGAGACTCGCATCCATCATCCATCGACAGTATGTACCGGTGCATTGAATTATGCTGTTGGCCAATGACAGAGGCCCACCCACGGCGCGTGAGATATCGGCGATGGAGGCTCCGTCTCAGGGTCAGACGCGCACAGCCGCCGGACAGGATGTGTGCCAATTGCAGCGGTCATTGAGGCTATTAGTGCCACGATGCAGGGATAATGCCGTGTAATTTGCGCGTTCTGCGTTTATTGCGACATCAATCGCAGGTGTGGTGAATCGGCAAATAAGCAGTACCTACATAATTGTTGCATAATTGTTGACGTCTCATAAAAGTATCACTCGTCTGTCTGAATCTGGATGCGAGTGCATGGTGTCGTATTCATGCTTGGAGGCGTCCTTTCCCGGTATACAGGATAGGTCTCCCTTTCCCAGCCACTCAACCAATCACCCTGGAGAGGTTCCGGTATTTCCCTTGGGAGTTTCGTGCCCTCTATGGTGTCTATTATACGGTGTCTTCGGTGGGCTGATCGGCAGCCGGCAGCTCGGACAAAGAAGCACTGAGCAATGATAAGAAATAAGAATGATCTGGCTGTATCCGGTTATAGAGGTTGGATATTTATGCTTTCGCTTGTACTTTCGCTTCATATGCGATTGTTTCGGTGCTAAATATCCAAATACACGTATAGCTTGAAGACCTGGTGAGCCGTTCTTCAGTCCTGCCCATCGACCTCGTGTTACTCATCTGCCGTGACCGATGACCAGGCCGCGACCTTCCCTCTCCATCTCCACTCAGCGCTGTGTTCTGTGAGCTGCATAATCCACTCATCGCCGCGCCTCTCAGGGACGGGTGGCTCATCAGACTCCATGCCTGCGCGGTGATATCTCACACAGGCGCCGGGAACGTGTCAGCATCCAAACGGCTTCCGGTAGACCCGGGGTGCAGTGAGTGGTCGTTAGGCGTCAGGGATCCACGCTTCACGGCGCGCAAGCAGTAATGGTATGCGTGTTCCGTCGCTCAAGGAAACGAAGGATAGATGGATAGAATGACGTGTTTGGGATGTACAGATACGCTCGTTCCTAGCTGAAGGTTATGCGTAAACTCAAACACTTGGCGGGCCAAGTAGCAAGCACTTCGCGTTACGTGCCTACTACGAATTATTACACTGTCTCATTACACATATTGAGACACGAAAGCCGATAGCGAAGTAACTCCATCAGCCGGACTGCATCACGCACAGCCGACACGCCGGCATCTGTAGCTCTGACACGGTGTGACACCTTGACACGGTTCTATGACACGGCCATGGCACCGCCCAGGAGCCTGAGACTGAGTGGCATTTGGTGTCGAGCGCCGCGCAACTAACCGGTCACGGGTCGTTTGTAATGCTTGTGAGTCACTCGTGACTGAGGCTCTGTCCTCTGAACCGACAATGTAAAAGCCTGCAGACTGGAACCACTCTCGAGATGCCAATGCAATATGTTCAGATGATCGATCAGAGATATGGAGACCCTAAGTGATCGGATGTGCTATTTAAATAGGCAACATGATGCTCATGCGTTTCCAACCGGACTGGACAGGTTTTGTTTCATAAAGAACCAGTAAAACGCCTTTTGGGCGACCAACAGAGCGAGCGAGAGGATGGGCCTTGCACGTGCGAAATTGCGAGGGGGTACCTCCAACTAACTTGTGCACTGCACCCTACTAACCGGTCTTTAGCGATGTGCCAAATTTCAGCACAATCGGCCTAGCCGTTCTCGAGATCTGGAAGCGGCACACTGCACGTGCGCACGTGCAAGCGGGGTCCAAACTGACTTTTGCACGGCACCCTACTAACTGGTCCCCAACCGTGTACCAACTTTGAGCGCTATCGGCCCAGCCGTTCTCGAGATCTGGGAGCGCCCCCTGCACGTGCGCACGTGCTGTAGCACCCTAACCTTAACACATGCAGATGAATTATCTGATGGAGACCTAACTGTGTACCGAGTTTCAATTCAATCGGCCCAACCGTTGTGCCGTTATTGAGGTTGCAATTTTGGGGGTTCTTAAAAAATGTCCAACTTTACCACGCGCCACGTGCGGTGGTTGGCAAGAACGCATGGTGGCCATCACACCACAGAACTTTTACGTCCAAGTGACATTCAGTAAAGAAGACCGCTGGTCAATCGGATGTCCCGTTCCTAAGATATTAGCTTTTGAAGAGCGTCCCCACGGCCGGCCGGCCGGCCGGCCGCTCATACTCAGGATTTTCCCTTAATTCAGTATGAGACTCCGCTCGCTTCGCTCGCTCCGTAATAATTCGCTGGGAGTGCATCGGGTTCCTTTCACTAATATTTGAGACTTTATGTTGGCCCATGTCTCAAATGGGTGAATAAAACCAGTAAAACGCCTTTTGGGCGACTAACGGAGCGAGCGAGAGGATGGGCCTTGCACGTGCGAAATTGCGAGGGGGTACCTCCAACTAACTTGTGCACTGCACCCTACTAACCGGTCTTTAGCGATGTGCCAAATTTCAGCGCAATCGGCCTAGCCGTTCTCGAGATCTGGAAGCGGCACACTGCACGTGCGCACGTGCAAGCGGGGTCCAAACTGACTTTTGCACGGCACCCTATACTAACTGGTCCCCAACCGTGTACCAAATTTGAGCGCAATCGGCCCAGCCGTTCTCGAGATCTGGGAGCGCCCCCTGCACGTGCGCACGTGCTGTAGCACCCCAACCTTAACACATGCAGATGAATTATCTGATGGAGACCTAACTGTGTACCGAGTTTCAATTCAATCGGCCCAACCGTTGTGCCGTTATTGAGGTTGCAATTTTGGGGGTTCTTAAGAAATGTCCAACTTTACCACGCGCCACGTGCGGTGGTTGGCAAGAACGCATGGTGGCCATCACACCACAGAACTTTTACGTCCAAGTGACATTCAGTAAAGAAGACCGCTTGTCAATCGGATGTCCCGTTCCTAAGATATATTAGCTTTTAAAGAGCGTCCCCACGGCCGGCCGGCCGGCCGGCCGGCCGCTCATACTCAGGATTTTCCCTTAAAGGGACCCTCCCACCTTAACATTAGTTTTGAGTTGAGATAGCCAAGTTTGCGGCCAGGCTCAGAAACCACCATTTATCCTGGTCGCAACCCCCGCAGCTTTATGGTGTTCAAGAAATTTCTTCCCTTTACTTGCAGGGTGGGACCAGCTTGGTCCCTATCTCTTAACCATTATGGGAATCTGATGACGTCATCAGGCTTTCGAACGTCCGTTAAATGTTTGACTAAAACGTTTTGTAGCACGCGGTGGTATATGCTGCTTTGCGCGCAACAAATGCCGCACTTTCAAATAAAGTCGCTAGGAACAGCGGAGATCCCAAAAAGTAAACAAAAGTAAAAGTCTAATATCTTGAAAACCGGTGAATATTTTTCGATAAAATTTGGTAGATATTCGTTTTTGGTCTTTCTGAACCGAGCGACATCACTTTCATGCCAATTCATTAACTTTTTTGAAGGTGGGAGGGTCCCTTTAATTCAGTATGAGACTCCGCTCGCTTCGCTCGCTCCGTAATAATAAAACTGAAACATAGTAAAATACCAAAAACATTACGACAATAAAGCATGATACCCGCTTCCTTTAGGCTGTCGAGTGAAGCAAAAATAAAAAGATAAATGAATAGAGAAGTAGGTTTGTCGGTAGTTCGCTATCGAAATATCGATACGATATATCTACTTGTGTGCATTGCAAGATATCTACTTGCCTGCATTATGCACGCATAAGAGTAAATTTACACCACCCATACCTACTGGCAATAATTCATTATGCTAGCTATCCTGCGTAAACAGCAAGTCGATTCTGCGAATAATAGTACATAGGGGGAGAACAATGTCATACATTCCATTTGACGCTGCACGGTCCCGTCTCGTCGCCCGCCGCGTCGAATTCGGCAGTGCGGGGAGATCAGATAAGGTGTTTGTTGTTCACAGCTGCCCGGTGGAGACGGATGGCCCGTAACAGAGACGGTGACATGATGACGGACGCGCACGGACCGTACGCTGGACGGACAGTGACCGTAAACAATGCACCGCGCTGCGCGTTGACCAGCTGCGGCATTTCCGCTACGGTTACTGGCACCCGCAAACGCGAGCCAATCTTTCGACAATGCGCAGCCCAATCTAATCATATATGCAATAGGCATGCATAATCTATATATGGAGTTCGTGTAACAACCAGAGCATTTCCTCAGCGCCTTACCTAAGAATGTATGCACGTTACGTCTTTTCGTGCTACCCAACTGACACGCCTTTTTAGCTCCCGGCAAGCCGAAGCCATGAGGCTGCAAAATATATCGGAAAGTCCGTTTCACTATCACGTATGTAGCCTAATTGCATGACTGACGGCGTTTGCTGGCCGTTTCAGACCGTGATGGGAGTGTGTACGGCGAGTACGGAGTACACATGCCGGACGGCTGGACACGGGTAATGGTGTACGAGACCTCTGCAAACAAACTGCGGCTGGTACACGAGTACCGAACACCCACCAAACGGCTACGAGGTCAGTGGGTGGGTACTTAACTTATGTACAAATCGCTGAGCAAAAAAAATAGGATTGCATTCAGTGCTGGAGGTGGGAAGACTGAAGGTTATTTCGTCTAAGGTATGTGAATGTCGTTACTTTGGGTAATGTAAGCAACGTGCAGCTTCTTTTGGAAGCTAGCTGAGATAAAAAAGTAGGTAGGCAATTCGAAAATCAAAGTTCAAACATGCAATGCTTGGTATTGACATTCGTTTTTTTATTAGCAGGAGAAGGCAAGGATTCGCCGCCAAGAAAGTTCAGGAGACCGCAGCCCCGCGAAGAGCTTGATAATGACGTCCAACCAGAAATTCAAATTATTGCCGTGCCACAGCTTTGGAAAGGTAAGTGTCGCAGCCATAGTTACTGCGATGACGTTATTAGGTATTGAACAAAAAAGCGCATCCAAAGACCAAGCTTCCTAATATTCACAAAAATGTTTCTGACCTCATGACCTGACCTCATGCTAATCATGCAGTGCTCCCCAGACGGTCATCGCTTTCCTTCTACTCTGACTCTGGCCTTGCATCCCCTTCCTCCGATCCGGGCCCTTCTCTTGAATCTGCAATGCCTACAGTTTCACTGTCCTTTGAGGCCGAGCCGTCCTCCAGCTCTGCGCTTCCCTTAGTCCCAACATCCACTGACTCGTTCTCTAACTCTGCAATGCTGCCTGTGTCTGCTGTGCCCGGACCAGTTACCTAGCTCCTCAGCTCACAGTCCATTGTCCCTGACACATTCCTCAGCCCTGTAGTGAAGTTGATTCCCCAATGTCCGCAGTGCGAGGTGAGGATCTGTTCGCCTCTGCCAGTGAGCAGCGCCCCGTCACTTTGGTGCTGGCGGGCTCCGACCAGAAGCCAACGCTGGCGCCACCTAGACTGACCGACCAGCGCGCCCTCTATAACTTCGGTTACGCTGCTCCGTACCACGGCCACAACGAGACGGGCACGGAGAGCGGCGCCAAGTTCGGGGAGTACTACGTCGACCTGCCCAACTGCTGGCGATCCGTGGTCAGGTGAGTCGTAAATTGAGAGAACTCGTGACCGATAACTCTGAGGAGCCAGAGGGCAACAGGTCACAAACCTGAGGCTTTGTCAGATGTTCCACGCTCAGGGGCTTTTCGTTGATAGGTACTACCTACGCCTTGTTTGATTTCATTCCATTTGCATTTACAATAAACGGCTGCTTATTGAAGGTTGACTATATGATGTCCACTTTCTCAGATACTGGGCCGACGAGAGCGGCTACCACCCGACGCTGCGCCGTATGCGTACCCCAGGCTGTGAACAGCAGAAGCGGGAGGCGGTCAGCTCCGACCCATCCGCTGCCGCCGACCCCTCGTCTCCGGACGGACCGTCCGCCGTGGCCCCTGGTAAGAGCCCGGACCCAGCTCCCGCCGGGCAGCCACAGGAGACCGAGACTCCCTCGGCAGCCCGCTCCGAGCCGCAGAGGACAGCGGGAAGGAGGGGACCGTCAGCGCCCGGCTCTCCCTCGGGGGCGACGGCATCCTGCGGGAGCCGTACGGGTCCCGACGGCCAGCCAGCAGCCCCCAGCCGGCCGTACGGGTTCGCCTACAACGCGGGTACGCATTACCACTGGGAGCGCGGTTTCGCCAATGGAACCAAGATAGGGGCCTACGCGGTGCAGCTGCCGGATGGTACTCTTCGGACCACCACCTACACCGCCGACTGTTCAGGCTTCAAACCGAGCATCACTGTCGAGCCGTTAGACGAGGCCAAGTTCCTCAGAGACTTCCAGGCGTTCAACCCGCCTAAGGAGGCCAAGCTGTTCGAGCGAGGTGAGCAGCCCCAGGCCTCCGCCCTGGTGCGTTCGGAACCGGCGCCGGCTCCGCAGAACCTACGAGCTCCGGGAAAGCAGAGATCGGCAGAGGTCCGCGGAACGCCGCCCCGACTGGTGCAGGAGCGACGGAAGGAGACGACATCCTCACCGGCCTCCACCAAACCGCCCACCACCACAGAAAGGCCCACGGCTGCCAGCACTACCACCACCACCACCACCACAGCGCCGCCAACGACCACAGCGGCGCCTCCACGAACCTCTGCTTCTCCCAGTCGACCGATAGGTGGCAGCCCCAGCAGAAGCCGCTCCCCAGCCCGCCGCCTCGCCCCGATCGTGCCCATCCGACCGGCCGGCAGCGGGCCGTACCATTTCTACGTCCACCTACGGCACAACTACCACGAGGAGCGGGGATACGAGAACGGCACCGTAGCCGGTCAGTACGGCGTGGTCGGACCCGATGGCGTGCTGCGGGAAGTGGGCTACACCTCCGAGCACGGCTTCGTACCCACGCTGACCGACACACCCGTCAGCGCCGACCACGACCTCAGCTCTCGGCCGAGGAAACTCTGAGGTCGTGTGTCTCTGAGCTCGTGAGGGAAAGTGCGGGGTGCGGGAGGACGAAGGGCCAGTGTCGGTTACTGGACTGACTGCAGGCGGTGGGTTTGACGCCGCAGTGCGGTCTTGGCTGTGGGAGATGAATAGAATAGTGAGAGGTGAGGTGGCTATTGTGAGGTAGTGTGTAAAAGCGTTTGGTGCACATGTCGGTAAGAAGTGGCCAATAGCCCAACAGAAGAGCTGACTACCAGGCTCGTGTCGGGAGAGCAAACATTATTGTGCCGTCGAGCAGAGTTGGGGGAAATCACATTTTTACTGCTACTCCAAAGAAATATTTGCGGGAAAACGATCGCTCCGGCTGCACTATGCTCACAAGTCACTTTTCAAGAATGGTCGCCCACGGCCCAACCTCCCAATGTAAGCGTTACGGAAGGATTCAGTTGTGAAAAGGGGTGTGGACGAATGACAGACAAGGGCGAGCAATTTTGCTTTTATCTGTTGTCATCGAGCTGAAACTGAAGAGAACGTTCTTATTCAATGCTCACACTAATGCTCAACGAATGATCAAACACTGTCAAAGCTTTGAACCCGTGCACCATTGTGAATGTTAAGCGCAACGCAGATCATGGAAACGATAATACATTGCCATGCTATGAGGCACTTCCATTACCAAATACCCATTCTGTGAACCAGAGCCCACAGCCACGCATGTAACTTCTCGCGTTCATCCTTTATCAGTCATACAATAAGTAGAAGCTGCGCATTTTCATGATTTGTCTGTAAATAAATGTCGCACGTTCCTTTCGCTGGTTTCTCCTGCCACTCTTTGAGTCATTCTTCTCTGGAAGGTCGAGCCCCGGGTCAGGGGTAGGTCGTGGGTGGTCGATCCACTACCGTTGGCTATGCTTGGCGACGCGTGGCATCGCCGAAAACCACGCAACTTTACATATCTTAATGCATTTTATAAAAAGCAAATGTCTACACAATTGTAAATTATACAGCTATTCGTCGTAAGAAAAAATATTTCTAATATCTCAAAACAAGTCAATAATCCAGCCACCTGTCACGGAAGGCTCTTTGAGTCTTTCTACACCTCCTTCCACCGCACACGTTACCACGAAACGCCGTCTAAATTTCATACAAAATGTAATTGTCTACTCAGAAAATACAGCGTCATGATTTAGCACGCATCCCACTGGTGTCTCCAGCAGGCTAACTCAAAGCCACGGGAATGACTCGGTCAGCTTTGTCCGGCCCCGGGCCCCGTGGGGAGGGGAGGGGGAGGACGTAAAGGGGAACACATTATCCCTCCCAGCACCGGAGGACCGGTCCGTCCCAGCCGGCCGATTTTCACGACTCTCTAGAGACTCGTCAGGAATGGAGCAGGAACAGATAAACAAGATCACCGGATGCGCGGCGAGCATCGGAATCAACACATGCGTCTCTCGCCTTCATATCACAACAGCAGACTTTGCACGGCGGGCTATCATTAAAAGCATGGGCACTTGGCCGAGACAGAGTCGGAATGGCAGGACAGCCTCCGCGGGAAAGCCTCTGTCGAGCCTCCCATAAAACCCGGGGAACCAAACGATCACAAGGCAGTCACGGCGGATTTTATGCAGCTTTCCGTAAATCACCAGCCAGGATGATTTCTTCTTATTGTTCCGTAGCCTCTGCATAGCACGGAGTGCCGACCGTGTAGCCTCTGCGGAGGTCACTGCGGCCGCCCACGTTCCGACGCGTCCACAACCGCGTGTAATCAGGTCTCGTAAAGCATTCTCTCGTTCGGCTGATTCTACGCGAACTACGTATGTATGCATGTCGATATAATAAACGCTATGGAGTTCACACTGTTCGGTACGCATTCGTCATTCATTAGCGCACACTCTCGGAATTTGACGGCACTGTCTCTTCACCGCCACGCCTCGTCCATTTGACATAGGGAAGCGGTCGGCGCGCGGTGCTACACACTGCTGAAGTTCATGTCCTTGACGAGTTTGTCTAGCCTGTCGAGCTGCACCTGCATTACCAGGCGCGCCTTCTTCTCAGAGTCCAGTTCATCGAGCACAGTGCGCATCCGCTTGGTGTAGTCGGCCTTCAGAGCTGTTAGGGATTCCGTGAACTGACGGCTCTGTGGACACAGACAGAACGAACGGGTCACAGGTCAGGTCAGGCCACAATACAGGCAACTCACATGCAGATCAGGTGGTCTAAGCACAACATGTTGCTATTCCTGTCCTCAGGTCGACCTAACGCCGACCGCACCCCAGGGGCTCTTGTGCCTCAGGTAGCCGCTGCCAGCTCAAGGCCGTCAATGCCCCGCTGTCTCCAAGCTGCGTTGAGTCCAGTCGGATGTTGCCGAAAATGCGGAGCCTCGTGCCCGCCAGGCATGGGCAGTGGGCACCCGAGCAGCATATGTGTGGCGGGACCCTCACGGCACACCAGGCAGCGCGCCACTGGGCAGGCCAGGCTGCTGCACTGATGGCAACCACTCTCATGGCGGCGTCAAATCCTACGCTGGTAACTATGCCAGCGGCTCCAGTGTCCCGCCTTCAGCTGGTGGACGTTAGCGGCCTCATAACGAGAACCCGAGAGCACCCCCCCCCCCCCCGCCGCACTGGGCTCCACCTCGGTCCCAGAAACCCCTCCTCCATCGGTCGGCGTTTCCGCTCACCTGATCGGCCAGCTGTTTCTGCAGCTGCGCGACCTGCTCCTGCAGCTGCCGGGTGTCGCTGGCAGCTGCCGGCGCGGGAGCCGGCGCGGCAGCTGCCGGCGGTGCGGCCGGCCGGGGCGGCGCGACGGCCGCCGCTGGAGCGACTGCCGGGGGGTCGGCGGGCTTCGGGGCGATCCGAGCCGAGACCGGCCTCCTGGCCTTCACTGCGGGCGGCAGGCGGGTGAGACGGTCAGAGGCTGGTCAGGAGGCGGCAGTCAGAAGGAGGAGTGAAATTCAGCAGCGGCGAAGGAGCGGTGGAAAGTGATATGCCGTCAGATGCAGGCATTGAGTTAAAAACAGACGGTAGAACTACTAGCCCTTTTCACGACTGAGCAATGAGCATTGGGCACGTATTTGATTGAATTTGAAAGGAAAGAAACATAACAATCGGCATTTCATTCAAAAGGTGGAAACCGTTCTAATAAGTAAACAACTACCATATCGCTCAGATTTTAGACGGGTCAAACGGATCAAATAAGCGTCCAATAATCCGTCGCAAAAAGAGCTAATATCTACGATTCAGGCGTCGTCCAATTGGCGGCACCCTAGGACGAATGGGTTCCCTTCTCCAAGACATGTTTACCTTCTGAGGGCAGCTCTGGCCGCGCGGGCCGCGCCTGGGCCACCGGTGGCGGTGCTGGCGCCGAGTCAGACTGGTCCGAGGATGGCGCGGTGTCGCCACTGGCCTTCTCGTCATCTGTGGAACGACCAAAGGGGCGGGTCAGATAGGGCCGAGAAAGGGAGGCATTAATAAAAACGACCAGCTACAGTCTTGGGAAGACAATGTGATCGGAGAGTGTGCGTGAGGAGACACGAGACGCTTGAGTCAACAGAAGAAAACATAACGTGCGAGAGGCCAGTGGCCCATTGGTCCAATCACCATACTGTGTATAATGCAACAACTGAGTGTGCCAACAGCCATGCAGGCAAGCGTTCATCGCAAACAGCTATAATACTTCAACAGCCTTTCACGTGACGTTCCTGTCATACCCTTGTCTCTGGAGGACTGTTTTTTGCTGTGGGCCCGCTGTAGCTCGCACATCCAGGGTGGCCGGCTCGGTACGGGCGCGGACGGTGAGGTGGCCGCCGCCGGTTCCGGTGAGGTCGTCGCCGCCGCCGACGAGGCGTCCGACGTCTGCCGCTCCGTCTTTTCGTCATCCGTCTCCACTAGCAGACGCAAAAAGACGGGCTCTACAAGCCGCTCCGAGACCGCCGCGCCACATGCATGCACGCTCGCTAGGCCGCAGCCGCACAGGCTCAACTAGGACCGGCGCATCGCAACAACGGCTCGAATGGCAACGGCGGTTGGCAGAGCCAAACGCTGCCGCTTCGGCCGAGACCGCAGCGCGGCGTATCGGGGTGCATTCACTAGCGCTACATTCGATACACGCACAAATCAATGGCGTCGAATCGCTAAAACAAAAACGACAAATGAGTGCAGGCTTTCTAGCTGCAATTTAACAGCAGGCTTTTAAAAATGAAAAGATAGCGACAGGCTGAAGCGTGGTGCATGAAACTCGGTCTAGCAAGTGCGTTGCTGTGACAGTGCTGCTACTGCCTGTGATACTAGAGTGCCGCTACAACATGCCAGCTGAGGTGCCTGAGCTGTGTGGGCGCGTTTGGGTGACGGGGGAGGGGGCGGGTCACTCACCTGGCCGCGAGTGGCGTTTGATCTGCGCCCGCTGGAGCTCCTTCATCCAGGGCGGCGCCGCCTGGGCGGTGGGGGAGACGGTGGGCGCGGCGGCCGCCGGCTCCCGGTCGGCTGTGCCGTTCACCAGGTCCGGCTCCTGTAGGCAGATACGGAGAGAGGTGAGACAGGGGTCAGACAGAGGTGAGGCAAGCGAAACAGAGTGATGCAGATACAGATACAGATAAGCAGCGAACAAAATATAAGCAGGGGCAAGCAACCTTAGTGTGATATGGCGATTTGTGAGCAATGCTAAGATACAAAATTGCACGTCAAGCCATATGTCATAGTAGAGCACTTAAAAGTTATAACGCTGAACGTTTTACTAAGCGGCAATTGATTACAGCATGGCGAAAAGACACTGACTGAACACATGACCGACATTCCAGGTTTGGGGTAACCGACAGTGGCACCAAAATATGGCGCAAGGATGTCCCCAGCATGCAAACACAACGCACGGTCACAGAAACAATCGGCACACTATCGGCACAATCAATGATCAGCCTCAAATTTGTCTAATACTGGAACGATGAGCACGTTGACCTTCGTCCCCCGCCCCGCGCCATATCAGCTAACTCAGACCGACATGAGCCACATTCATCACACTGCGACCCATCACCACATTAAACATACATACCCAGCTGTTCCGTTCCTTCGCCTTCCTTGTCATTCTTTACTCCTAGCATACACGAACTACACAACAGGTCACACCACACGAGCCCTGCACACCGACACACAGGGGGTACTACGGCCTCCGAGAACTGCTCTCTCCACCTACCAGCCACGGACGCGGCCAGATAAGTGCTATTCATACGATAACGACCGCTCACATCAGACAGACAGACAGACAGAACCACAGACAGGCACACAGACAGACAGATGTGCCTATCTACCTCTCCGGTCTCACAGACCCGCCCTGTCACTCCGCGGTGGTCCTACTCGACAGAGATACTCTAAGCGGCGGACAGAGGGACAGAGAGAGAGGGGGTAGAGTACCTCTGCCAACGGAGCCTCCGACGGAGTAGCCGGTGACGACGGCGCCTGGGGCGACATCTGTGAACAATGTGCAGAACTAAGCGGGTGCGCTCGGGTGCTGGGGTGGTATGAAGCGCTACTACAGGGCAGGTGCGGTAGCACTAGTGTCTATAGTAGCAACTACGGGCGTGCGAGACGGTACACTGTGAGGGCGTGATATGCTAATAGTGAAGGAAATGAGCCATTCAGCTGTTAGCTGCGGTCTGGACTCAGGACAATTCTATTTTAGCTCAAAGGCAAACACAGAATATACATTGAGGGCAAAACATGCTATGTGCACTGTGCGGTGCTTTATGCCTAGTGATTTTTTTATTATATTTTCACTTTTAATACACTTACATGTTAAAATTAATTCGGATTGCGATGCAATAAAGCCACTTGTATTGCATTGCAATACGAATCAATTTCAACAGGTAAAATGTATGGACTAATGAGCATCAACGTCCATATTATTCTACACTATGACCTAGCCATACTGATTCGTGCAAGGAGACATGTAACAAGCGAGCTAAAAATCTAGTTGTGTGTCATCACAAAACCATGCATATTTAAAACAGAACAAATCATAACTTGCAAATCTAACTTATCTAGCGTATTTGTCATTTCACTATGACTAGACATTTATTGGCCTACCAGCATGCACTCCATGTGTGGTGCACACACTGTGGACACATGTGATACACACTGTACTGAGTGTACACCCGTGTGCACCAGTATGTACCCCGCAGTGTCCCGCACTCACGCTCTCTCGGGAGAAGATGGTCGAGGTGGGCCGTCGGCCGGGGGCGCGCGCTCGGTCGGCAGTTATGTGCGTCAGCCGCTCCGAGCTGCGCTCCACCGCATCAAACTCCTCTGTAGGATACAGAGAGTGACGTCAGGACACCAGTGGTCATGGCAGGACACGGCGGAGCTTGATTAGCGCACACAGCAATACAATGTGACAAAAGCGCGTGACAAGGACCAAACAGGTGTGTGTTAGCATAATCTGACTTTAGTGCTTAGCATCAAGAAAGAATAAGAAGCAGAACAAACAAGCAGGGAATTCGACGACTCCCTCGCCGGAGAAAAGTATCGCACTTTGCAACACCAAAGCCTCCCTGTAAAACTCCCACCGTCACACTGATTGGCGGCAGCCGCTCACCTAAGCTAGTGTCGCCGTCTGGCCTCTGCGCCTTTTTGGGCCCATCGGGGACTGAGGCGGGAGCGGCGGCCGCCGGTGGCGCCACCTCTGTTTGGACAGGAGAGTTAGTGGTGTCAGACGGGTTAGTAGGTGGCACCGCTGTCGGCTTGGCGCCGGACGCAGGTGACTGGGTGGCGGGTTTGGACGACAGAGGAGGAGGCTTGGGAGATGCCTGTTTCGGAGGCGGGGTTTTCGGCAGGGGCGGCGGGGGAGAGGGCGCCTGGGCTGGGACCGGGTCGGCAGCCGGGGCGGGGGCGGGGGAGGGGGCGGGGGCGGCTGTCGGCTGCGACATGGTGGCAGTCGGCTCCGCGTCTCCGGCAGCGCCTGAAAGGTGCCGGCGGTGCGTCAGCAGACAGCCGGACCCTCTAACGGTACCCCTCCGAGCAGTGCAACGAAGACAAATGTGCCCAAAACACAACAAAACAGATTAAAGCCGGTGACGAACAAATAAAGCCGTGTTCGCGTGCAAAAGGAAACAAAAGAATTATCTACAAAAAGCCGCGATACAACGAAATGAAACGATCGATGAGAAACATAACACTCCATGGGGCAACGACACAAAGCCATTAAAACAAACCAAGTAAAGAATACAATGACTCATAAAACTCGTAAGCTAAAAATGCTCCATAGTCACATACACTAGTGACTGCTAAAGGGTTAGGCTCCCAGCTCGAACAGCTCACAGGACAGTGTTCCACTAGCAGGGCCATTCAGCTCAGGGTATCTGCTCAGCTCACCTGCAGCGGGCGGTGGCTGGGCGGCGGCCGTCTTCGCTCCGTCGCTGCCCGTCGAGGTAGGTCTGCCACTCGCCTGGGGCGCCTCCGTCTTCGTCGCTAGCTTCGACGGCGGCTTACCAGGCCTGGCCGGCTTCTGCAGGCAAATGGTCACGTGTTCCCTGTCACAAGGGATGTTTCGAGTCACGTGATAGGTGGCCTACCTAACGCATCACTGCGGTCAAATACAATGCCAAACGAATTCAGGTAACCACGTGACGTGCGTTGCATGTGACGCACTGTACCACGTGACACCTCCCGACAGCGGAACACAGCGCTTCGGTGTACCAAGTGAGCTACACAGCACACTGAAAGGTCGAACACGACAGGACCGCGGTGGCGGCGGCGGTCGGTCAATATTGGGCGCAGCGTCTAATCTCAGGCCCTAAAGCTGTGTCAACAAACGGTAAGCAGACGGCGGACGGCGGGCCGCGGGCGGTGGCCTGTCCTTGGTCACAGGGTCAACAGAGACGCCGGTGCCGGCAGTGTTCCATTTTTCAGACTTTTTGGTGGCAAATCACACCTAATGGGGAAAATACTTTCATCCCTAAAATATGAATGACCGACTTTACTTCATCTCTGGAAAAAGTTTCATGTATTCCCAACTGTTCCCAACAGCCAGTTTACATGTCACTTGACAGTTGATGCACCCACATCCTTTTGTTTCACACCCTGTCAAGAACCTGACATGAAATCCTGGTTTATCAGTTGGCATACAAATTGGCATTACACCATTTTGCAAATATACTTTGGTTATTTATTTCCATTTTTCTCATCCTAGGATTTTTTTCTTCATCGGCACACCCAACCAAAATCCAATTTTAGAACACTGGGTGCCGGTATAAGCTATCATCCATACACGCCAGCGCTCCAAGGATTATCACCGTTCTGCCTGTCCGCGTTGCAGTGCAGACTATGACCGCCGACAGCTCACCGATTTATGGGGGCGAGAACCAGCTGAACTAACACTAAGGGCCTCAATGGCATGGTTATGGCTCACCTGTATCAATCACCCAATTCAGGGAGGTAAACCGGCATACAAGCACCATGCATCGTAAGTCCGTTCAACTATCGAATCAAACCAACTAAATCAGGCAACCCAAAAAAACTATGGTAGGTCGACACCCCAATCGCATAACAAAACACTGCCACGTAAAAAAAGACAGTTTGTAATGGTTCGTAAACAGACCATGAGTCCTATCAACCATAACACCAGCCCTCTTATACGAACTACGGTAACACTAGCCGCCTGTGAACCGTCACCATCAGGTCGTGAGCCGTGACGGCCAAGTTCAGGCCAGGAGTGCGCTCCGCCCATATCCCGTTGCTGCGCCCATATCCCGTTGCTGGAGTACGAGTGGTGAGCTCAGCGTATGAATCAGAACTCAGATCCGATGGGCCGTGACGACCCATACTGGAGGCAGCGGCGACGGCAGGCTTCTGAGGTGTGGGCGTGTGTGGCTCTTTCATAAATGCTGCGACATGTTTTGCTAGTATTGTACAGCGACGACCTTATACCTACGTGACGCTTACAATTATTACAATGTGTATCAGTTTAGTGAATAGAGCTTAATTGGGTCAAGGTCAACGCTAATTTCACTTGATAAAAATATTTTTTTGATCCACATATGTTGAAACTAGTCTGTAGTGACACCTCAAAGACACTACATCAGGAGCTTTTTGGGATGCATCGAAATCGACCCGGAGAAAAAAAAACATGTTGTAAAAAACGCGAGAAACATTGAATACCCTTCCTTGGCATGTCCGCTAAGTCACCCGTTGGCCATTAGCGTCATCTTCTACTAGTCCCCTTTCACCCGTGGCCTTCCGTAACCCCTATCGTCGTCCCCTGATTTCGAAGTCCCATACTTCCCGTCAGCGCCGTCTTACCTCAGTTGAGGAGATGATCTCCACAAAGTTGTCGGGGAAGACGCCGATCTTTCCAGCCAGCTCTCCGCGCCACCAGCCCTTGTCGTCGCTCTCCTTGGACACGATGGTGACGATGTCGCCCTCCTTTAGCGTCAGCTCGTCGTCATTCTGCCGCTGGTAGGCGAACAGCGCCCGGCACAGCTCCTTCACTGCGGTCACACACACACTGGTCTCAGTCTCGGCTGTTCAAGCTCAGTCTCAGTCCCGCTGGCTCACCGTCTAGAGCACAGGCGCGCCCCAGCGCCGGGCAGCGACTGCCGCCGCAGTGTCAGCCAGCGTCCACCGGACCCACCAAAGCGCCGAGGGGGCGGGCAGTGGACGGGGCACAGAACGGTGCATCTGTTTATTTCGGCCTGTGTTTATTGAGATACAGCGACGGAAGCGCCGCATGGGCTCGGGCGACGCTCAGTGATGATAAACAGAAGTGGGGTGGAGGAACAGGACAGGGTTGTTTGGTAGAGAGGAGGTCAGGATGAGAGGGCATTATTTCAGTCAACATGACCCCACGACAACGTGTGGTGGCAGTTAAATAATCAGAGGCGGCAGCAGTAGCAGCATTGGTTGTGTCGAGGGAAATCAATGTAGTCAATGGACTGCATCAAACAATAAATTGCGGATAAAGGTTCAGAAGCAAACGTGAAATGTGTGTCAAGTAAGTCACAAAAAGTAACGTTGAACATAAAACCGAAGGCAGCTGAACAGCGCCTTATGATAACGGCCACACCACCTTGACTACTTGTAGTACATGAGAGTAATGAAGAATGGTTCAGTCCCTCGCTGTGACACAAAACGAACAATCGTGGCGGCATGTGGGAGCGATTTATGGGAGAAACTGCTGGTAAAGCTCTGCGACGTGCGGGGATTGGAAACGTGACTGGCGGCCTGAACCGTTCCCGCGGGCTGGCCAGGTAGGGAGAGGCAGGGAGAGGCAGAAAGACAGAGGCAGAGAGAGGCTGAGAGGGGAGGGTGGGCGGCGGTCAGCGGCTCGGTGGGTGGAAGAACTGACAGCGCTTGGACCGGGGCTGTTTGGAGTCACTAAAACAGAGAACCGGAGGATGACTAGCGTACCCCACTTAGAACCCGACCCGGGACCAACAACACACATGAGTGTATCGAGATGATCTAACCCCTGCAACCTAGCACACGGCAACACTTTACTAATGTAACATATTTGACAGTAACAACCAAACCCAGTGTCTGCCCACAGCAATCATATGAAGTAAGATCCAACGTCACCCATAAAAATAATAAACCCATTCGATACCAACTCACCGCACCCGTCAAACCAGTCACTCTCACGCCAACTGACCTGGCTTGGGCGGCAGCTGGGGCGCCGGGGTCGGGTCGGGCGGCCGGGGCAGCTGCGGTGGCGGCGGTCGGCTCTTGGCGTCCCTAAGGATGTCGCCCAGACCAACGCCCTTCACCGGCTTGGGTTTGATCTCCTGAACGACGTCGGCGTCGGCAGGCAGCGGCGGCAGCTCCTCGACGAAGTTGGACGGGAAGACGCCCACCTGGCGGTGATGACAGCGGGATGGTGTCAGCTCGACTGCGGCGCGCACACTGCACGCGCGGGCCGCGGGTCACACGCTGCGGGCGAGTAGAGTTACTCACAGTGTAATCCGAGCCCGCCGGTGACTACTGGCTACTGAACGGTAGTCACAAACATCACCTCACACACAATGAGCGGCACTGTAACACTGTGACACTATCCTAGACGACTAACAGACCGACCATGCTCGCACGTCCTGCTGTTATAACCCACTGTCCCAGCGCGCACCTCCACCGCTCGGCGCCGTATCGACAGCACTGAGAGTCGGCGGCGCCGCCGGCCCTGCGCCCGCCAGGCACTGCACGGGGGCGGCCGCCGAGAGTGCAGCAGCCAAGGAGCGGCCGACGGCGGTGCACAGTCTCTGTGCACGGCGCACGGCGCTCACGGAGCCGCGCGGGCGAGGAGCCAAGGCCAGTGACACGCGGCGCGCCCAGCGGCGACCGATCGGGCGGTAACTGACTGTGCACCGCTGCTGACCCCGACACACCGGAACACGGCACACCAGACCCTGACCTTACCGGGCAGAGCCGGGCTGATAACACTGACAGGAGTGAGCATACCGGACGTATCGGCGTAACTATCGGCCCCTGACGGCGGGTGTCACACCTGTGACAACATCCGCCTGTAGGTAGGTTATGCATCCCAACAGCTTCAGAATGGATGGTTACCGACATTTAGCCATCCAAAAGTAGCAAACCGCAGGTGGTCTGTTCTGCAGGGCTGATGATGTCACGGTTTATACATGATCGGTAGGATGAGTTCATCGGTACTTTAACTCACGATGGACGACACAAAATGATTGGAACCGAACCGTGCACTGTTCAAGGTTAACAACGCATATGACAAGACGAATGTGTAATTTATGAACACTGAACAGTGTGGACTTTGTGGCGCAATGTCTTACAAGTTGTGTTTCATCAAACCAAGTCATGCAAATCGAGTCGAGAAATGCGCAGATATGCGCAAACATCGTAACCTTCGTCAAAACTCATCCGCCATGTCACGCAACAGAATGCCGTGCATAATTTACCGAACCACGATTGCACGACATCGGTACATTCCTGTGGATCAACGCTTCAGTGAGCTCTGCAACGCCCACTACCTAAACAGCAGCTGTGTTGTGTGCAATCAACCAATCAATCAATCAATCAATCGGAGTTGACATAAGCTACCAACCCCATCAAAGCTCGAACTCGAGACCCGAACCGCACTATACCAGAACACCGGGCAAATGACACTGGGTGTGAGCAGTGACACCAGAGGCCACCCCTCGGTGACCTAGTGCCGACCGGACGGCCGCCATGGGCGGTGGTCGCGCCCGGGGCGGGGCGGGGGCGGGGCCAGTCGCCGCCGCCGCCGGCCCACAATGCCAATGGCACGACGGCTGACCGGCGGCGCCGGCGGCGGCGGCGGTCGCTGACCATATAAGGGCTGGTCGCGCGGCTATCGACACAGGCGCTGTGGCGCCGGTCGCCGCAGTGTCAGGCATAGCGCCGCGGACGGCTGGATTATTTATCCAGCGCGGCTGTGAGTGCGGACCTCACTCGGCACCTAGCCCGGTAAGCTGCACGGTCGCTGACCGCAGGGGACGGGGAGAGGACGGGGCGATACACAGGGCAGGTGATGTCAGCGAGAGGAAACATCCCGCACAAAAACAAACTCAGACACACTTCTCAAACCGGTCACCAGACATAACTTGGTTACAAACACGCCCAGAGACAAGAACCGCACTAATTAATGAGAAATGACTAGTCCAGTTCAGTAGATACTGGTAGAATCACTCATTCCAGTGTCGAATTCCGAATATGTAAGCGCTCACTTATCCTCTACTATTCGCCAGCGGTGATCGCAGTGGTGACAGCGGGGACAATCTCCCCACCACCTTCCGTTGCAGGTGTGGTTGTCACGTGACATCCCGTGACTAGCCCGCACCGTTGTCACGTTCACATGGAATCGAACGGCGCTTATATGCGGGAAAGTGCCGCTCACAGCGCCAAGGTGATATACGGTCTGGCACCTGGGAGTGCGACTCGTGATAAACGCCAGCAGCGGCGCTGGTTTACTGGACAATTCGACCTTTCCAATCAGCAAAACAGACGGCATTTGCATTGAAAAGAGAATTTCAATGCCAGACAGCGCTAGTCTTGCCTAGTCTTGCGTGGAGTTAAACGTTGGTTGAAAGAAGAATCACTCTAAATGGGCGATTCTGTCCGATTCTTTCCGATTCATTCGGATGAAAAATCAATAGCTTTCCGTATTTGCATTCGTATAGTTCCACGATACAGCTCCGGCTCCCGCCGCTTGGTAACTGAGACCCACTGTCTCCCATTTCTCCAAGAGGCGAGCGTATACCGGGTACCGACTGCAGCCGACACGCTATCTACTCCGGCGAGCCGCGTCCGCATCGCCCGCTCGAAAGGCAGTCTATAAACACTGACTCATCGCATTGGGCTGTGAGGTTACCAGGAACACGACTCAATCGCCTAGAGATAGTTCCGCATCGAGTAGAACAAGATGCTTCCAAAGGCTGAGAGAGACACCCTTCCTATCCTGGGTAGAACGTAGAGCGGCCATGTACCCAAACAGGATCACATCATCACGACCTTTGGCCGGCAGCGGAGGACGAGCGGGGTCATTTACACACGGATCGGCCGGCGGGGTCGGACGGTGCCGCGGGTCTATCACCACCCGGCCGACTGTGATGGCGCTGCAGACCGCGCCGCTATCAGAGGGTGAGTGACGACAGCGGCGGGCGGCAGGGACAGAGGCCGTATGTAGCGGTAGCGGCAGGGGACACAGTCGGACACTGCGGCTGTACGTAGTGGCAGCAGCCGCGGACACAGTCGGACACAGCGGCTGTATGTAGCGGTAGCGGCAGTAGACGCATCACCCGTAAGTAGCGGTACACTGAAAACAAATCTACCCATGAGGGGAGAGTAATTCATATTTGACTCGCCATTCATGAGTATATTTGGATGAGTAACTCATGCGTGGAGCGTTAACACTCAAGAGTAAAAGTTTACTCGTTTTGAAAACTCAATTGCCCAAATGCATGACCTTCTCCCTATGAGTTGCCTGACTCATGACGCACAAAACATTGGTATCAAACCTCCCTGTTGAGTCTCGCAAACTCATGTAAGGCGAGTAAGGAATGTACTCACGACCCGTGAGTTAGTGAAACTGAACGTTTGGGTTTAAGAACTCATGAAAAAGAGGACAGGGATTCTTGCTAACTCATTGTTCGTGAGTAATGAGTTCAAAAACCAGTTTGAAATCATTAACTCGTCAAACGCAGCTTAAGGAAACCAATGATGCGCCGGTAAATATGATCAACCGTGAATTATCCATGAGCTGCTTTACACAAGCCTTACGCGTTAATATTACCGCCATGACGCCATCTTGCATGTTTGTGCCGGAAGTGCAGCACGGGACGCGGCGGACGCAGTGAATTGGAGGCTGGAGCGACTGGTGAGTGTTAAATGTTACGTATTTTATTGCCTGTAGGTATGTTTAAGTGCAAAATGCATATTTTCATTGAAAATGTACCTACATGTGCACTCACACAACACTACTGATACCTTGGGTTGTCCTGTGGGTTCGTTGACCCTCCTAGTTATGTATTGTCTATAACATGAAAGCCTTTTTGAGGGGTTCATAATATCTTGAATATGTTTCAACGCTAACTTGAGAGACATTGTAACAAATAGTAAGAAAATTAACCTCACTCTCATTCTATCTAAAAGTAAATTCCGGATTCGAAATAAAACAAACTTTTTGAGAAGCTTTCGGCATTGCGCCATCATCAGCTCTCAATTCCTTAGAGAGCTGATGATGGCGCAATGCCGAAAGCTTCTCAAAAAGTTTGTTTTATTTCGAATCCGGAATTTACTTTTAGATAGAATGAGAGTGAGGTTAATTTTCTTACTATTTGGTTCATAATATCCATCAAAATGTGGAATATCATATCAGTCATGCTCAACATGCCCCTACAGTGAAACCTAACCTGTTATTCTACGGGCAGCTTTGCCTGCGTGAAGCCTAACAGAATAATTAAACATCAAGTATTTTCTTTAAACCTTTGCCTATAGCATCTATTTCTGCCAGCCCCTAATGCTCAAACCCTGGTGCAAACATCTATAGGTTAGGATAGGCAGGGGCGGATCCAGAAAATCTCCAAGGGAGGGGCCATTAGAAACCAGGAGGCCCCCCCCCCATAATCCCACCTGTTGGAGGCCCCATCTTCCCACTTGTTGGCCCCCCCCCCCCAAAAAAAAACTACGTCTATTGAGCTTATCTAGCTGTTCAGGCAACATCTCAACATCTGTGCAGGCTTGGAGGCCCTCTGTGCAGGTTAGGAGGCCCTGTAAAAGTGGTCATCTCTGTGAGTATAAGAGACCTCCAAGTTATGAAAAGCTTTACCAATCTTCTAACAAAGAAGTCTTCTCAGCTAGTCTTCTAAGAAATAACTAAGTGGGTAGGTTAAAAAAAAAAAACTCATCGGATTTCGGCCACTTTATTTTCAGGAGGCCCCCTTTTCAGCTTTTTAACTTTTTAACTTTTTATTTTATTTTTGAAAAAAATCGGCCAAGGGGGGGGGGCCATGGCCCCCATGGCCCCCCCCCCTTGTATCCGCGCATGAGGATAGGTGGTATATGTGCAAATGAAGTTCGAGTGGTAGGCATGTGGAAGGTTGTATGTTGTAAGATGTAGGCTGGTAGATTGTAGGTACCTATTTAGGTTGTAAGGTCTAGTTAGTAGGTTATAAGGTAAGGCTAGGTCAGCTTTTCATCATGTTTTTCATCTTCCTCGTAGTTCGTCTAGTATTTTTGTAATAAACGACTTGTAATTGAATCATTTGGCCGAATCCTTCTAAAAATGAGCACCCCAAGTGCTTCTTCTAAAAGCCCATCCCTGCACCCCCCAAGAGTGAGATCTAGATACCAGGCATGGTCGAATTGATTCTATCATGATGTTCTCATCTCCTCAGCTGGACGGTGCCATGGAGGCCACTTTCTCAGAGAGGCGACACCTCATCGTCAAGAGGAAAATCCCGATGGCCACCATCCGTCGTCAATGAAAACAAAGTATGTACATTGTCATAGATAACATGAATCATTGTACATGGTCTGATGCGTTGTAAATTAGCGATCCTATGCAGTCAGAGTCAGGTGGTTTGGTGCGTGCAACTGCAGACGCGCCTTCACCGGCTCTCAGAGTCAGTTTTCTTTCTGAAGCTCATCTTGAGTTATTTTGCACCCGCCCTCATGTGTATTTTGTTTCCCCTGCCTTTGTTACCGACAGACTAGGGCCAATATCCGAAAATGATTCGATCCACAGGATCCAAGAGCGCAATTCTTCTATCTGATTACGAGCGAGCGAGCGCAGCGAGCGAAGTGAGTCTTTTCAATATAACGGAAAAATCTCAGTATGAGCGGCCCGGCCCGGCCCGGCCCGGCCCGGCCCGGCCTGTAACGCTTTTGAGAGGCTTATATCTCAGCAACCGCTGGACCGATTGGCCTGCGGTCTTTTTTGTTGGGTAGCCCCATCCCTTCTACCCCGTAATTGACTACTTTTGATACATCTCAGTGACCGTCGTGGCACGTGCCACGTGAAAAGTCAAGGGTGTTCAAGCTGTTTTGCAAAAGTAGTGATTTTGAGAGGCTCATATATCAGCAGCCGCTTGGGCGATTGACTTGCGGTAATTTTTGTAGGGTAGCTGCATCCCTTCTACCAATGGTCGGATACTCTTCATCTATGTGAGTGACCCCCACTGCACGTGCAAAATACAACAATAAGAGGTGCCAAATTTGTTCCCATTTCAGTAACTCGGTAATTACTGGGGCGATTTCGCTGAAACTTGGCATACAGGTAGGCACCCACCAGGCAATGCATTCCCATGTGTTGCGGTTAGGGTGCTACTGCACGTGCGCACGTGCAGGGGGCGTTTCCAGATCTCGAGAACGGCTGGGCCGATTGCGCTCAAATTTGGTACACGGTTGGGGACCAGTTAGTGGGGTGCCGTGCAAAAGTCAGTTTGGACCCCGTTTGCACGTGCGCACGTGCAGAATGCTGCTTCCAGATCTCAGGAAAGGCTGGGCCGATTGCGTTCAAATTTGGCACACCGCTAGCAACCGGTTAGAAGGGTGCTTTGCACAAGCCCGTTGGAAGTACCCTCTCGCCTTTCCGCACGTGCAGGGCTCACTATCTCGCTCGCTCGTTCTTCGTCCAAAAGGCGTTTTACTGGTTATAAATTCATCAATACTTTTTGGAGACCCTGCTGGTCCTTGATCCAACATGTTTCTTTCGTCGATGAATACCGGCGATCTTGAATCTTACATTTTTGCTCTGTGGATTGATTCTGGGGATCTTGTATCCTACATTTAGTCTCTGAGAATACATTTTTCTTGCTAAATTTCAAAATGCTTTGCATTAGCGAGGCGTACAAGGTTGTTTAAGAAGTCTTTGTGCACAACCTGCTTCGCTGGCCCTAAAGTTCAAACTTAACGCTTAATTTTATGTCTACAGGCATGACATTTACGTTGGATCCAGGAAATTTGAACTCTGGCATTTCGTTCTCGCGTGGGGTCCGGAATCCTAAAGCGTTATTTATACGTGCGATCCAGGGGATCTTGGATCCTAAAATTATATTATATTTTTCAATGAGATCAAGGAGATCCAGTATTCTGAAATCCTGGCATTGCATGGGATCTTGCGGATCTTGGATCTTGATTTTTGGCTGAGGCACAAGTCTGTACTTATACCGACAATGCATGCATAACCCCAGAGTCATATCCGCCGCACGGTAGGGATTGCGAGAGTTACTAATGCTACTGTAAAACAGATGTGCTTGTGTGACATCGCATTTGCATGACCACCGATAACGGAACTGGATTGGCAGTTAATTTTCAGACGCTGCAGTAAGAAGTAGAAGAATTTAAGCCGGCCATGCGAATATTGATGGCGTCTAACTAGTATAGTCGTCCTTCAGCATGCGTCATTAATCCTTTGTTTTCAGGTCTGGAAAGAGCTGAGTCGGATAAAAAATGCCGACTTGCAGGACACCAACGAGTTGGAACTCTCCCGGGAAGCCATGACCCCGATTGTGGCCAATGGCGAAGGTGAAAGAGCAGCTGGATGCCTCACAGATGGTAAGTTAACAACATTTTACCCGGAAATGTTGGAACCGTAACCGAATAGGTACCAAAAGCTCATGTATTTATGAACGTCCTATTAAAGGGACTATCCCACCTTTAACCCTCGCATGTGTGCGGCGTTTTCCAGCTTCTAATGTGTAGGGGGGGGTCGGTTGGACCCCCCCCCCCTTGCCGTTTGGCCCCTGATCGAGCTAGAGCTTCGCGGAAAAACGAGCGTGTTGCCCGTGACGAGAGGAAGCCGATGATACCCAATTTTAAGGTCCTAGGTCATTGGTTGACCTTCCAGGTCAGGTCAATGACCCAAAGCCGGGAAAATCGGGACCTATTAGAAAGTCGTAAAGTGTGGCTGCTAATGGGTTTTTCGGGGTGCTGATCACGAATATCGTATTAGTTTTGATCACAGATGATGTCTTTAAGCATTTAGACCAGGTCGGGTCAGGTCAGGTCAGGTCAATCAGTAGGCGTCGTGACGGGTATTCGTAGTACGTGTCAACCAGGGTTGGCATTTTTGCCGGCAAAAACTAGTTTTTGCCATTTGCCGGTTTTAACCGGTTTTAACCGGCAAAAAGTGGCAAAAACTGGCATAAACTAAAAACCATCCTAATGTCACCCCAGGCATGTTTCTAATCATATCACATTCGAAGGATTCAATTAAAGCTATGTGCTTTCAAGCAGAAGTGAGATTTATATTGATAATTTCAGTGCTATAAGTTATGAAATCCTAAAATGATTTACATGTCCTTTCCATAATTTGGTAGCAAAATTATCGTTTTCTCCTATTGTGAGGACAGATTTCCATGTTCCATGTGAAAGTTTTCACTTTCACTTCATTTGCAACATTTGAACAAATGAATGGGAAAAAACTATATTTACACTTCAGTTCTAAGTGTAAATAAGATGTAGACAAGGTGTAACTATCATCTGAAATGATTACTTTAAACAATAAGTTGATCTTACTCCTGCTTATGTTTATGGACTTACTTGGCGTCAACAGAGGCAAAGTTTAGCAAGGAACGAGATGTCACACCAGGAATGAAAATGTTGCGCCGTGTTAGCTTCATTATTTGGTAGCATTTAGAAGCAATCACGAAGAAATGCCCCTACTTGTGAGCTGCCTCCTAGTCCTATTGCAATTGTTCGTCTTATATTGTTATTTACGATATTTACTTGAGTATGCAACTTTTTTTCGTACTTTTGACTTTTAAAAATATAATTTTTAGTACTTTTTTCTTTGTTCATCAAAATGAGTTTATTACGACGTCCTTCTTAGAACTTGACTTACCGACAGTTGCTTACTTTTTAAACTTCCTGTCATCTACTGCTTCTGCTAGTTTTCGAGTGTAAACAAACCCACGTGGCTGAGGGACTCTGACGATTTGGACGGATTGGTATGCTGTAGTTATATTGGGAGCGTGAGTGTGCTGTGTGGGCGTGCTTATATTTTGGTGATTGGTCTCGACTCTCGTTTCCATCAAAGCAAACCCTTAAAGATGACCGGGAGGCAAGGCGGTCGTCCACCCGCTTCTATACGAAGTGCTTTTGAGCAGAAGTCTGTGGATGGACGGATGTGCATGATCTGCCCGTCCTGCGGCAGGGCGATATCTGATCGGCCCAAACGCCTGTCCATGCACTATGATAACTGCCCAGCCCTGAAGCGTTCGAGGACCAGTAATGACGGAACAGACACCGAGAGTGATGACGTAAGCATCGCGTCCGATCAACAATCCCTGCCTGGACCGTCGGGATCCACATCTAGATCCAGGCCGCGCCAACAGCACATCACCAACTGGACATTCCGTACGAGCGACCGACTCAAGGAAGAACTGGATCTCAAGGTAGCAAAGTTTTTCTATTCCAAAAACATCAGTTTTAACACCAGCGAGTCTGCTCACTTCAAAGATCTCGTGAGCAGTCTGCGACCAGGCTATGATCCTCCCAACCGCAAGGCCATCGCGGGACGTCTGCTGGACCAGACCTACGACAAGATGAAGGCCGAAATGAGGGAGGCTTTGGCAAAGACGTCTGAGGTCACGCTGGTGCAAGACGGTTGGAGCGATGTGTCCAACTCGCCTGTTATCGCTCACACGATCCACGCGCCCGGCGGTGGGACGTTTTTCTTGAACTCGAAGTGGGTGGAGGACATGCCGAAAACCGCAGAAAACTGTGCACTGCTGGCCGAGGAAGCTATTGAAGAAGCGCGGTCGCAGTACGGCGTAAAAGTGACGGGTCTCGTGACGGACAATGCCAAGAACATGCAGAACATGAGAAGGATAATAAACCAACGACACCCCGAAATAGCCGTTTGGGGCTGCGCCTCTCATCTTCTGAACCTGGTGGGCAGTGCAGTGACGCCCTCGGACATCATGAAGTACGTGGTCGCGGTTCACAAGTGGTACCGAAACCATCACAACGCTGGAGCCTGGCTGGCGCAGAAGGAGGGCACGGTGCGACCGCAGCTCCCCGCAGAAACTCGATGGAATTCTCAGGTAAGAACTTGCTGACGGCCGCTGGAATACATTCATCGGTTTGACACAGACTGGCGCCAACGGCTAAAGTATCAATGGAACAATCCCAAATTAAATTGGAGCGTAAGCGATCCCATGCACAATTATTTATAGGTTTTGTATGGAGCGGTAAAAATATTTGTTTATTTCGCAATTTATATCTTCATTTTACATTTAGTATATTAACTTAACATTTAAGTACAACCATAGTGAACGTTAAACAGTTTTGTGTATGCATACGCATTTTAACAAATTCAAAGTCTTCAGCCGCTCATAAAAGTAATCGCCGGCAATGTTGTACAACTCCCTGAACTGCTTTGGCAGGTGGACACGCTGAAGAGCTTCATCAGGAATCGGCAGGCTTACGTGGCCATCAGCGCCGAACACGAGCCTGAGATGGACGAGACGGTCACCCAGCGTGTCAACTCCCTCGGCCTGTACCGCAGCATACAGGATCTCGTCTGCCAGCTGGAGCCCATAGCTGAAGGAGTGGATCGGCTGCAGTCGGATTCGGCGACTCTCGCCGACACCGTGGCGGTTTTCCAAGACCTGCTGGACAACCAAGCCCTGGCGCCGCACCACGCGACACTTGAGCGCCGGAAGTCGCAGGCAGTCACGTCACTGCACCTCGCGGCGTACCTCGTCCACCCCAGGTATATGGGCCAGAATCTCACTACCGAGGAGTTCGATGAGGCCATGGCGCAGTTCAAGGAGGACCTTCACCCACAGATAACTAAGTTTCATGGCCAGCTGCCACCTTTCCCAAGCAGCTTCTTTTCGGCTGGGATGAAGCAGCTGCCTCCAACGGAGTGGTGGTGCGGGGCTGCCCAAAGGCCTGGGGTGAGCAAGGAGCTGGGAGATGCAGCAATGAGCCTCCTCTCAAAGCCGCCGTCCTCCGCGTCCATAGAGAGAACTTTCAGTAGCTTTGGACTTGTCCAGACCAAGCTGCGAAACCGTCTTGGGCACGCAACCGCGGAGAAGCTCGTCTTCTGCTACCGGATGCTCCAGGGAACTGCAGCAGAGGACGATGACGAGTGAAGTCCAAGGGGAGGGGAGCTGAGGGGGCGGGGTCAAGCTCATACCATTCCTGACAGTCCTGAGAGTCATGCTTTTCAGTTATCTGTGTATGTTTTGTGAGAGTGGCTTGCCAGGTGCAAGACAGACCAGAAGTCCGAGCGTTGGACTTAACCATTTCACCGTTCGTTAAACTGGGCTGTTGCCCTGTTCCCGGATTTCCGAAGAGGAATCCAAGTATTGAATAGTGTTTGCTATTATGTTTCAGGCGTGCTCATTTGCCTGTATGCTTTTTCTGATTGTGTTTTGTGTTCCAGTGGAGTGAGTAACGCAGAAAAGTGGAACAAACTTGATAATACAATTTTAGAAGCAATTTAGCATGTTTGTCTGCGAATAGAGAATGTAAAATATGGCTAATGATTAATAAGGAACATGGACATGCAACAAGAAACTTATGAGGCGAAGTTCAGCATGTTTAGTACTTCCAAATAGCTTCTAGACATGTGTTTTACACCCAAAGTAAGAACTAACTAAAAAAGCAGCCAGGTTTGAGCCACTTGAGTTTTTGCCAGTTTTTGCCAGTTTATGCCACCTTAGTTTCTGCCAGCCGGTTTAAACCGGTTAAAACCACTGGCAAAAACCAGTTTTTGCCACCCCTTGCCAACCCTGGTGTCAACCGCCTCTGACAGCTTCGTAACATGTTACGAAGGCACCAAAACTACTTCGTAAATGTTCAAATGGTTGCTAAATTCGAATTCAGCTCCAAAAACTAGCCTAGAAACATGTAAAACTCGAAAAAGTGAACCGAGGTCACCCGAGGTCACCAAAGGTCAATGACCTGACCTGACCTTCAGGTGACCTTGACACCCGCCCTAATGCATGGGAGCAACATCAAATCACATGTTTGAACGTTTGAAACCACGAAAAGCTTGCAAACGCGCGGCTAATGCGAGCCGACGTACGCCGAATCGCGATTCCGGCCAAACATGGTCTCGGAAAAGAGGTCACAGGTCAAAGGTCATTTGGGTCAGGGTCATGAAATTTTCAGGGTAGGTGTCAAATTGATCAATGCGAGGGTACTGAAAGTTTCGTCGCGATCGGCCGCTTTTTACGCGAGTTATTCGCGAAAAACCATGGGGGGGGGGTCCATCCGACCCCCCCCCCTACACATGCGAGGGTTAACATGGGGTTTGAGTTGAGATAGCCAAGTTTGCGGCGAGGTTCAGAAACCACTGTCTATCTAGGTTGCAACCCCCGCGGCCTCTTGGTGTTGAAGAAATTCGTTCCCTTCATTTGAAAATGGGCCTTGTACAAGGCCCTATCTTCAACATGGAGCGACCGTTAGTGTGACGTCACCTCGTTTAGTCATTCTGATTTAAATGGGTTTGTTCGTTGAAAAATCGCTTAAAACTTGGTCTGAACTTTGTTGTGGTGCCTACAGAGTAAAAAGAATCAGCTTTATGACAGTAATGTGGCCTGGGGAAGGAGGTAATTTTGGGCTGTGACGTCACATATTTGAAAGTTTGTGTTTGGAATATGGGAAGCCTAAGATGTTTAATGAAAAATAAATGCCAGAACCGTGTTCCTGGTCATCCAATCTATAAAGTCGGGCACAATTTAACTGGTTTTAACAACATTTTAGAAGGTGGGATAGTCCCTTTAACAGTTTGATATACTCGTATACACTTACACGGAAAGTATTTAAAAAAGAGTAGAAAAATGTAAAATTTTATCCGTGCTTCTTATAAGAGATCATAGAAGTTCATCGTTATATCCACTGTAGTAAACTACAGTGGATACTCAATACCTATAGGCATTGAGTGTGATTAACACATTTTTATCGTCAATTTGAAAGTAATATATGCGAGCACTATTTACTCTAAACATATTTTAATGTTATGCTCACAAGCATCTTCTAACCCGCACCCCGCGGGAGTTCCTGGATTTCCAGGCCCTGCTGGGGGGGGGGAGGAAACGTTTGAACCCCCCTTTTAACTTAGCTCCTGGGCCATGTAGCGATACGGCGAAGGCGGCGCTCGAAAGGACGTCAAAAATAAGGAAGAAATTATTTCGGTCACTTTTTTGGTCAGGTCAAAGGTCAGGTCACAAGAGGTCATAGAATGCAAAAGTTCACCGATTTCCAGGTTAAATTTTGATAATTTTCAATTTTTGACAACATTCAAATTTTGATCAGATCAACGTATAGCTCGGAAACTAATAGAGCTACAAAACCACATAAAAGCGCCTTTGATAGCCCATTAACGCTCTTTCTGATTAATTCTCTCAGATTTGACCTGCCGTCAGTGGTTTTGCATGCGGGGGAGGGGTAAAAACTGCCAAAATAGATATATATTTTTTTCTGAAAGTTTTTCAGCAAAAACTTTTGACTTAAGCCTTTCACGTGCTTTCTTTTACCGGAATCGTGTTTCTCTCGGCAAGACGCATTGAATAAACTATTATGTGACCTTGAAAGGTTAACTTAAAAATTTGACCTCAGTTCAAGGTAGTTCAAGGTAGTTCAAGGTAGGTAGTTCTCAGTAGCGAACCTGACCGATAAAGGTCAGGTTGCACATCAGTTGATCCGTTCGTCGAGATGAACACAACGAAGGTGTTTTCATCGTTCTATGCCTCTATCAAAAGTTCTTCGCGAAAAACTGTCAGATACCATTCGTGACCTGAGATGTCATCAGGGGCATAAAACGGGATCACGGGTGCCATTTTCATGTTAAGTGTGGTTGCACTAATTGCTTATATGCCTGCTTTACCATATCATCAGAGAGTATCATCGATGAAAACACTGAAATAAATTCATAAAATACAGATATTTGCTGTAAAAGAGATTAGGTGCAGATTTGGCCAAATTAGACGTGGGTTAAAATTGCGAGAGGCATACTGTACCAAATTAAAGTTTGCAGTTCGTGGCCTTGATTTCTGAAGGTAAATTTTTCCGTCGCAGACGATGCGATCGACCATCTTCTCTGCACCGTGCTAAAGAGCACCAAGTTGTGTTCACATCGGCGCCGCAGCCACGGCCTCATGTGGCGGACGACTTCCACGCCATAGAGGGCGTGCCAGCAGTGCAGTTTAAGGAGCTAACGGCAAAGGTGAACAAGCTGCTGACGTGGGGGGCCGCGTTCACAGTGTTTGCGCAGTCGTTCAACCGCCCAGCCATCCGTCTGGCCGGCTACCTGATGTGTGCCGTGATCCTGAAGACCGATGTGTCGCCGCCCCCAAAGCAGTGGGCGGCGATGACCGGCTGCGTTTAGGAGTGCACGGGGAGGGACATGAGGCAGCACTTTAGGGACTTTCTGTCTCTTTTTGTGTTTGCATGTTTCTGCCGGGTATAGTTTTGCAAAGAAATGGCGTTAACGCCTTTTCATGCGTGTAGGCCAAGTTCATGTCTGGAAGGGCATGAGCGTCGTGCTGTGTTCATCACCCTTGTTCATATGATCAATGATGTAATAGTCGTGGTTTATCTGCATGCTATGCATTGTTTTAATAAACCTTATGTTTTAATGTTATGACTCTCATCTCATGGGTGAGGCTGACCGCCAGGGGATGAGTCGACAGAGTGGAAAAACCGGCGGCAGAGCGATCTAATAGGTGTGTTCACTTGACCATCATGTTATGAGTTACATTTAACTCGCGTATCAATCGTTTCATGGCATGAGTTACTAGCAATGCTTGAATTCGTCACAAACGGTAAACTCATGTGGTATGAGTGAGGGAACGAGAGTTAACCCGCAACTCATTGGTGATGTGACCGCTACAGGGCTAGTAACATTTACTAGCGCCTCATGTAGTCAAACGTGTGGTGTCTTCATTAACGGTGTAATATGAGTAAGCCTATACTCGCATATCATGAGTAATCAAAATGAGTTACCAAGAGTACATGAGTTTTTCACAATCGGTTAACTCATAATACACGAGTGAAGAGACATGAGTTAACGCACAATTGAGAGGTGGAATGACCGGTGCAGGCCTAGTTACATTACCGGCGCCTCGAGCAGTCAAATAGGTTGTTTAAAATTACCGCCGGTTCATGAGTTTACTCATCACCCATGGGTAATTTTGTTTTCAGTGTAGTGGCAGCGGACACAGTCCGAAACAACGGACACGGTCGGTAGCAGCAGCGGACACAGTTGCCTTCAGAGGCCATATGTAGCAGGAACAGCACCGGACACAGTAGGGGAGGAACAGCGCCCGTATTTAGCGGTAGCAACGGAAGAAAAAGTCACAACAGCGCAGCGGCCAACGCTATATGTTCTCCTAGAAACATTGAGTGCGACACAGCTACGTTCTGGCACTGCACAATTTCAGCCGGACCCATCGAAATGCTGACAAATTTGGGCAAATTAGCCTGTAGCAACGCCCGGTCACCTTCACTTAACGACGAACGGGCCGAGAGGAAGGTGGATGGCCGGGGAAGGTGGGAGGACACGACAGAACCGCACAACAGAGATGATGAATTGGGGTTTTTGGGCGCCCGGACTACAGTGGTCATCGGCGCCCATATAACGTCGCGCACAGTTTAATAACTCAGCGGTAACTCTTCAATCGACGGCTTCAGTCCATACTTTCTTTGCCTCATCCTCTGTGATCTTCAGGTTTTTGGAGATCTCGTGCCAAGAATTAGTTTTTTTTTTAAATGTTATCCTTATATGACCTGTGACTTTTATCGTACAGCCATGGGTATTTTGCAACAGTATGTATCAAGAACTCCTTGTCAACTGCCATCAGGCCGTGTTTTTCTTAATTAACTGGAAATCTAATCAACTACCACCTGCTAGGCATATTTTCCGTAACAGCTGTAGGCTTCAATGAATGAAATGCCAAATGCCCAAATGCGGACGAAATGAATGGCAACAATAGTCATCTAAAAATCATGTGCAATGTCTCGTGCTTAATCCATGATGAATCTATTTTTGCGTGTATTTGCAAAAATAAAAATGGTACCTTCGTTTCGCAAAAGTGACACAAAAAAAACCACGTTTACCGTGAAATGTAGCATGTGCGGCAATGCAAATTCAAAATGGCGGGCGCAGCGTCAGGCCCGATCAGGCCCAAAAAGTTGACTTGAAGTTAACTTCGGCCTGATCTGGCCTGAAGGTCCGATCAGGCCAGTTCAGGCCGGATCAGCCGCTCCGGTTCGCACTGGCATGTCGTCAGGCCGAACGCCTTTTTCAGCCTTTTTGGGAATGATTGGGCCTGATCTGGCCTGATTGGGCCTGAAGTGACCGTAGTCGGAACCGGGCTTTAGACATGAACAGGCGCCATCACAGTCTTAGCTCAGTTATGTGCCTGAAGAGCCACAGTCTTAGCTCAGTTATGTGCCTGAAGAGCACGAGTAGACTCGCACTGTGCAGATGTCACTATCTTTAATGTTATCACAGATGCCACACTATGGACATCCATTTGTAAGCCGCTGTATATGACTACATGATTGCTAGAGCAGATGTAAGTGGATGCATTGCTGATTCAGCACTACAAGTCCTTGTGTCATCAACAGCCAGATACAGAGCACAGACATGCTACTATCTGTTCCAAAAGCCTTCAACGTAAGTGCCACTGATAGCAGCACCACTACTATCAACTCACCAAGCGCCGATTTGTAGTCTTAGAATAGCTGCTTTACCGCTATCCCACCTCATAGCGAATAACGATACGAAATAGAAAGTTAGATACGAAACCTCCATCCAATAGGGATTACCTCAACATCTTGCCCTCTGATGATCTGACACCGACGGCCCTCACCTTGCCGTTCAGCGATCCCTTCCACCAGCCGGGCTCCACGTCCTCCAACACGTCAATGATGTCGTTCAGCTTAAGCGCCAGCTCGTCAGCCTTGTCCGGCGTGTAGCTGAACAGCGCCTTACATCGCCGCCTCCCTGCAGACACACAGACAGACAGACACGCACACGTCAGCTCAGCACGGCAGGCAGAGTGTGAACTAAACACAGGCTCTCACTGGCAGCTGACGCATACTGTGAATGAAAGCAATTAATAGTGCATGCGCGCCAGGTAAAATGCGGTGACTTACAGTGCACAAATAGATTAGATGGAGGATAATTTAACGTCACAAAGCTAGCACGCAACGTTTGCATCAGAGACAAGTAATAACTAATAAGTACGGTTCGCCGTTCACTGGACATTGTTCGCTTTTGTCTTTGAATCAGAACGAATGAACACCTTATGATTGCAAGGACAAATATATCGCGATTCGCGAACTTTCCTGCTGTGAAAAACCACAGGGGTATTACGGAAATTATGATCGGTGCAGTGCAAATTTCCTTTTCAGCTCCGTTCAGGCATCAAAGCACAATTAAAGCACATTGGGGGGGGGGAGGTCACAGTTGATACAACCCAATACGCGCAAAGAAGCAACTCAATAAACAAACATATACCTCTGCACCAGGCCACCTCGTCAGTCTTCACGACTGAACTCACACAGAAGTCACCCCGAGATAACTAGGTCACACCTGAGCCGGCTCCCTCACACAGTTACTACTAGTGGTGTCAATCGGAACTTCAATCTTTGGAATTCCGATTTTGTCCAATGTCCAATTCGGAATTCGGTTGGACAATGGCCGCAGGCTTTGGACAACTTTGGACAATCGCTTGCTACACCTCAACATTTTTAAAAAGTAGTCGTGTTTAACAGTGATTGGCTATTAGAAAGCTCAGCTTTCGATATGATTAACACTTTTGAGCTTGTAACGGTACATGAAAAGCAAATGAAATAACAGTGTTGAGTGTAAACTATTGCGTAGGTGTCGGACATCTTTGGACAAATGGCTGGCTTGGACATTTTTGGACGGACAATCGACCTAACCATTGGACATTGGACGGACTTTGGACATACGTTTTCTGAAATTGACACCACTAGTTACTACGGTCACAGCCACCACGCACCGACAGAGGATGTCGACAGTGCGGAGTTCTACTTATTGAACCAACCAACCGTCCTACACGGCACCCACGCAGGATGTCACTCCACCCTTCGGAAACAGAGATATGGCGAATACAGCCGGCACAGACACCTACATCTGCGTTATCGACATCGGGTTGAGTATTAATCAAGCAGGATGCAGGATGTCAAGGTTACAAACTGATATTGGGTTGAGAATTCCCGAAACTTTTACCTATTTGGGATCACTTTAGATCACTGGATAGTGGATATGGAACTTCGTACATCCGGTGATGGAATAAAGCCCAGATGAAACAGACGTCCTTGTCACCACCACAGATTGTGCTTGGTTTCATTCACACTCCATGAATGATCCAATTTCGACCACAAAACCCAACACAGTGTAGGTTACGATGACAATAAAAGACATAACGTCCCATTTCGTCCGTGCAAACACCCTTTATTCCTTTTACTACGATTCCATCTGCTTTCATGCTTTCGTGTGGGCGCCTGTGCGTTCGTGCTGGCGCCGTTGTCGCTGTCAGAGCTGCGTGCTGTCGTCTTCGGACTTAGCAGCTCGTCGGCCTGTGGCGAGGACGGTGTCAGTATTCACGTGCTCCGTGCGTGTTTTGAGTCGATCGGTGAGGTGCTCCTACATTTGCTCAACTCCAGCATTACCCAATCCGACGTCCCGCACTCCTGGAAACATTCCCTTGTTCATCCCATCTTAAAATCCGGTGATTTGTCTAGCCCGTCCAACTTCCGTCCCATATCCATCGTACCTGTCATCACCAAAATCCTAGAGCGAGCTGTCCACCAACAGCTCTATTCCTACCTGTCTGAAAACCATCTCCTATCTCCTAACCAGCACGGTTTCCGACCTCACCATTCCACGGAAACCGCGCTCGCATCCATTTCCGACCATATCCTATCTGCATCTGACCATGGAGAGGTTTCCCTTCTCTGCCTGCTGGATTTGAGCAAATGTTTTGATGTGATTGACCACTCGAAGCTCCTTTCAAAATTACAGGCGCACGGAATTGACACTTCATGGTTTTCCGCATATCTTCAAAACCACACTCAGAGCGTCAGCTTCACTGACAATCACGGTGGAATCAAAAAGTCCCGCCCGCTACCCAACAGCATCGGAGTTTTTCAGGGTTCAGCCTTAGGCCCCCTCCTCTACTGCGTCTTCGACAACGACCTTAGTCAGTTTGCCGAAGGCGCAGTAGTAGTACAATATGCAGACGACACACAAATTCTAGTAAGCGGCAAGAAATCTCAATTTCAATCACTCGTCACTCGTATGGAGGACACATTGGCCTCTCTTGACCGTTGGTTCCGGGCCAACGGCTTAAAAGTCAACGCCGCTAAGACTCAGCTGATGCTGTTGGGCAGCCCCCAAAATCTTCGCACATTGCCTGAACTTAAAGTAAAATACCGCGATCACGAGTTGTCCCCAGTTTCCTCAGCAAAAAATCTCGGCATCATATTTGATCGTCACCTGACCTGGGGTGATCATATTACAACGCTCACGAAACGCTGCTTTGGAGTTTTGGGTGGTCTCTCGCATCTCCGGGGGCACCTACCGCCCAATGTGATCTCCGTGCTGGTCAGCGCACTGGTCATATCACAAGTTCGATACTGCATCGCAGTGTATGGTGCTGGCACCAGACACAATCTCTCTCGGATACAAAAAATCTTAAACTACGCAGCAAAAGTCATTTTCGGCCGCAAAAAGTACGATCATGTTTCCGATTTGGTGTGCCAGTTGCGCTGGCTCAGCGCGGAGAACCTCGTCACCTACCACTCCCTGTGCCTGCTGCACAAAGTGCGGTGTCACGCCGAGCCGGAGTTGCTAGCGGGTAGTCTGGCCACCGTGGCTGAGGCGCGCGGCCGGGACGCTGCTGTCAGCACGCGGCAGGACACACTCCTGCACGTGCCGCGATCCCGTACAGAGATGGGCAAACGCCGGTTCACCTGCCGAGCGCCGGCTGCCCTCAACTCACTGCCATCGGATTTGCCCCGACTGCCCCCGGGGGCGTTCGGACGACGCCTACGCAGGCATCTGCTCGAGGAGCAGAACACTAGCAACTAGTCATCATGAGTGTCTCTCTGTATATGTGTTCCCCTTTCATCTTTTATTGTATTTTATCATCACCTGTTTTACTGACGACGGGCAGTAATAGCCACATGTTCCAGTGGAATGTCCTGAATAAACTGTCTATTGTCTATTGTCTATTGTTTCACTATCGAAACCAGCGTTCCCTGAACACCACGGTTGGGTGAGCTGAGGAGCACTGTGTCAGAGGAGCACTCCGTGTGACCTCGAGCCCGCTGTAGTGCGGCACAATCTGCCCTCTGTCCCGTATCTGGCCGTTCGATAGTCCACCGGGCAGCCCGCTCAATCAGGAGTGCTCGGTGCGGAATTCCCGGCCGCCCAGCCTGGCCGTTCCCGGTGGCACTGCTCACGGGTATACCGTCTCAACTCATTGCCAGCGACACTGTAACTCTGACGGGACGGAAGAGCTAGAGATTGAGTCGATGGAGACGTAATTAGCATGCGCTAGCGTTTACAAGCAGCACAGTGTGCGGTGGACGTGAGGCAGGTTGACTTGGGACAGACAGAGAGCCAATCGGTTAAACTGGGACTGTTTATATAACTTCGATGGCCGAGCTATGTCGCTGACCTCAAAGCTATGCAATATTTTGAAGGGGTTCAGTGACACGATGGAAAGGTCACACAGCTACCGGACCCAATAGCGACCGTATTCGAGCCTGGTTTCTGCAAGTTGTTGAGAATTTGAGATAAATCAATTTCATGAAACCTGGGCTTTACCCGGGGGCCAATAAGCCCTATAACCCGACACTCACTTTGTGCTCGAGCCGAGGTTATTCAAATGAGTCAGCCGGCGCCGGAAGCTCAGCCCGGCGGAGGTCAGAGGTGTGTTGGCCGGGTCGGCCGGCACGGGAGCGGCGCCCTCACAGCCAGCGCAGATATGCAGATTTCCGTATACGTCGGCCGCGGCGGGCGCCCAAACACGCAGCCTTGAAAAGATGGCTTCGGCAGAGGCGGTGCCAGGACGGAAGGAGAGGGGAGACGAGGGCAAACCAACACAAAACGTATCAGAGCCCAGCAGCAGAAACGGAGTCGACACAAGTGTGTGATGAAAGCGTCGCGAAGGCGGAACTGATGTCATAAAGGGAGAGGCAGAGAAATTACGCAATAAGTGGCATCGCAGTGCCGAGGCCAGGCGTGGCTCTATGGGCTGAGGAGTGCCAACAGGTTAGACGAAAGGCGGAGGCACCCCTTCCAAGTCTCTGAAAGAGATGTTCCGTTCCGTTGTTTGCGTCGGCCTGCCGCCGGAGGCGATATCGGCCGTGGACTGATTTGACCTCATTTTTGCTCCTGGTTATCTTGCAAGATAAGTGGAAACAGAGCACCAAGGCAGCCCATAAGAGGCACGAATCTTACGCAAAACCCAACAAACTTAAACCTTTACACGCATCTGAATTATGGAGCTACAAACATCCAGGCCTCTAGCTCAGCTATGTTGATCTCGTCATCCCGTTCAGCCACTAATCAGAATACCAGAGCCGTGGAACAGTCGCGCAGACCGACCAACAAAACCAGGCAGCCGCCGCCCAACCAACAAAACCCAGCAGACGTCGTCCTAACCAACAAAACCAGGCAGACGTCGTCCTAACCAACAAAACCCAGCAGACGTCGTCCTAACCAACAAAACCCAGCAGACGTCGTCCTAACCAACAAGACCCAGCAGACGTCGTCCTAACCAACAAAACCCAGCAGACGTCGTCCTAACCAACAAAACCCGGCAGACGTCGTCCTAACCAACAAAACCCAGCAAACGTCGTCCTAACCAACAAAACCCAGCAGACGTCGTCCTAACCAACAAAACCAGGCAGCCGCCGCCCAACCAACAAAACCCAGCAGACGTCGTCCTAACCAACAAAACCCAGCAGACGTCGTCCTAACCAACAAAACCAGGCAGCCGTCGTCCTAACCAACAAAACCCAGCAGACGTCGTCCTAACCAACAAAACCAGGCAGCCGCCGTGCGTCTGGGAGGCAGGGCGGAGTGGCACAAAAACGGCGAGCAGGCGAGGAAAGTGGCGCGCCGGCGGCGATGGGAGGCGCGGCCCGACCACGGCCGGCTGTCGGCCCGTCACGAGCGTCGTGACGCGGGGCGAGATAGCCGTGACGAGCTCCGTGATAGCCGTGAAGTGGACGGTGCTGAACTGTTCAGACTGGGCGCAGGCCACCCACAGGGGCGCGTTATGGCAACCACACCGAGACTGGGTCATAGATCTGGCACACATGCCACACAGAGCTGGCAGATCACAGACCACGCAGACCCTGTCGAACACAAAGACCAGTCCAGACTCGGCCCGCTACAGGCATCTTCAGTCCCATCATACCCACTCCTTCCCCATCCCGACCACCGTATGACTCAGCTGACCAGCCCACACACCCCTCCGCCCCGCCCCTCCAGACCAGCGGGCGCGGGGCGGTGCGTCCCACCCGACCGGGAGGGTCTGGGACCTGCAGGTCACCGACCGAGGATCAACATTCCAGTCTGCACATCCCGCCTGCCTGTTGCGCGCAGCCCAGCGCCACTGCGGTTCCGGAGCCCTGCAGATCCGGATCGTGACGTCACCGCGGACGGCGTACCTGACGCGGCAGAGGCGGCAGCGGCGCACCCGCAATCCGCATCCTACCCTCGCTCGGCCGGTGTGCCCCACCCCTGCACACGGAATGACATCACCGGTACTGGCGCTGGAACGCCGGAAACGCACAAACATACCTGTACCGGCCATGATGTCGGGTCGACGGCTGCCCACACGCCAGGTCAGGGGTCAGGTCACGCGGTTCACTGAGCCACCGATCACTTCGTCACTCGGTCACTGATCACCGGGTCACTCAGACCACAGACCCGGCAGACCACACGGCACACACAGTCCTCACTGGTCACGGCACGGCCGTCCGGGGCTCGCACTCAGTCTGTCTCAGAGGCGAGGCTGGTCGAGTTCGGCGGCCGCCGGTCGCCGCATCGATTTCGGCTGTGCCCGGGCCGACTGGGCGGTGGCGTCGGGTCAGGGGCGCGGCGGCGGCGGCGGCGGCGGCGGCGGCGGCTGCGGCGGCGTTCGCCCGGCACTGGGCCGCGGCTCGGCGGCTCGGCCGGTCCGTATCTCTGCCCGGAAACGGTGGCCGCCGGCCGATAGCGTCTGACCGGGCTGCGCGGGGCAGCGGAGGCGGGCCGGGCCACCGAGGAGCACGGACAGCGCGCACACACTGACAGCACGCGCCGGGGGTGGACGCACGGTGGGCGTGCGCAGAAGGCAGAGGCGGGGACACAGAGATCGGCTCTCCACGGACAACGAGCGCCGCGCGATAACAAGCGACGTGCGGCGGCGAGCCACAGCCCACACGGCGGCAGCGCGCAGCCGGTCAGCCGCTTACCGGTACCGGCCGCACCCACACACCAGCGCCATCCGGCGGGCAGTATCCAAAGCTCAAGCTATCTTACTAGCCGACAGGTCGAGTATCGTAAAAACCAGCCGGTTTTCAGTTAGTTGCATGCCTGCCTTTGAATGCAAAATCTAACACGCGGCAAGCGCTCAAAGCGTGTGGTGAACACATAATCATGGAAAGTGCACATGAAAGTATCGGTTCCATGACAACTGAACCAGTGACAACTGAACCAGGACAACTGAACCAGGGACAACTGAACCAGTGACAGCTGAACCAGGGACAACTGAACCAGTGACAACTGAACCAGTGACAACTGAACCAGGGACAACTGAACCAGTGACAACTGAACCAGTGACAACTGAACCAGAGACAACTGAACCAGTGACAACTGAACCAGTGGACAACTGAACCAGTGGACAACTGAACCAGTGGACAACTGAACCAGTAGACAACTGAACCAGTGACAACTGAACCAGTGACAGCTGAACCAGTGACAACTGAACCAGTAACAACTGAACCAGTGACAACCGAACCAGTATGACAACTGAACCAGTGACAACTGAACCAGTGGACAACTGAACCAGTGACAACTGAACCAGTGACAACTGAACCAGTGACAACTGAACCAGTGGACAACTGAACCAGTGGACAACTGAACCAGTGGACAACTGAACCAGTGACAACTGAACCACTAACCAGTAGCCCAGCGAGCAATTTTACTCCGGGCCCAAGCAGGCTGAAGTGCGGCTTGCCCGAGATTTTTAGTCGGGCTTAAGTCGGCTAGCGCTTGGACTAAAGTCGGCTAGCGCTTGGGCTAAAGGACACAAAAACGCCGACTTAAGCCTATGCTCTGCCGTAGGTATGCCCTCTGGGCCTCTCGGCGAGCTCAGGACAGCCGTTGTTTAGCCCTAGTTGTGCGACGTTTGGCGTAAGCCCGATGTAAGCACTAAGCCCGAGCAGTGAATCCATTTATATACCGGAGATTCCTCTGGGCCCAGGCGGGCTGAACTCTGCCAAGCCCACGTTGCGTGCCCTGTCTGTCCCGAGTACGTTAGGCCATCAAAGTGAATATTATTTATACGTTGCTAACTATTCGGGCGTCCCAGGTGGGCGTAACGGTTACCACACCAGTTCGCGACCACCAGGCTCTGTCAGCCCTGTCAGCCGCCGTACGGCTCTCGGACGGACACTCTAATAGATCGGACACAGATCAATTGGCAGACCGGCAGATTGGCACAGACCGTCCGTCCAGCCACGCGCTACCTTATACCTATACGAGTACAGCGCAGTACGACGTTAGTTGTCCACTGGTTCAGTTGTCCACTGGTTCAGTTGTCCGCTGGTTCAGTCGTCCACTGTTTCAGTTGCCATACTGGTTCAGTTGTCCACTGGCTCAGTTGTCACTGGTTCAGTTGTCACTGGTTCAGTTGTCACTGGTTCAGTTGTCACTGGTTCAGTTGTCACTGGTTCAGTTGTCATACTGGTTCAGTTGTCATACTGGTTCAGTTGTCACTGGTTCAGTTGTCACTGGTTCAGTTGTCACTGGTTCAGTTGTCACTGGTTCAGTTGTCACTGGTTCAGTTGTCCACTGGTTCAGTTGTCCACTGGTTCAGTTGTCCACTGGTTCAGTTGTCCACTGGTTCAGTTGTCCACTGGTTCAGTTGTCACTGGTTCAGTTGTCCCTGGTTCAGTTGTCACTGGTTCAGTTGTCGCTGGTTCAGTTGTCGCTGGTTCAGTTGTCGCTGGTTCAGTTGTCACTGGCTCAGTTGTCACTGGTTCAGTTGTTCCTGGTTCAGTTTTACTGGTTCAGTTGTCCCTGGTTCAGTTGTCACTGGCTCAGTTGTCTGCCTACCGAAAGTATCATTGCCAACATGCCCAAAGTGTGTGACCATATCCAAATCATGTCATACACGTATTCGGAGATCCTCTGTCTCCATAAACAAGCCATATCTGGGACAACTCAAGGCCCAGGCATATCGGCTCAATCCAGCCATAAATCAGCACAGAACACCAAAAATGGCGGAAACGACGCAAAAACGACACAACTGTAAAATGCCATCGAACGTAAATCTTCGCCTCTTTACAAAAAGACAAGTTGTTGGTGTCCATTATCCAGCATGCCTCAGACGATTCAAAGAAATTCGCTTCAAGGTCTAACAATCATCAATACTAATGTGACGAACCATGTGGCATACCGCGCCGTTAAAGAGTCCGCTGGATGCACTGGATGGTAGACGACTTCAGTTTGAAGTCACCATCTCAAACTCAAACCTACGACTTTCTTTTACATAATACAGAACAGCGCCTAACAGCGAACGTCCACTCACCAAGGCGACCTGCGCCCGTCAGGACATCCCTGACTCTCAGCGCGGCACGATCTCCCCTTCCCTCCCCCGCTGCACTCAACGGACCGTCTGAAGGCATCCTCCTCCCTCGGGTCACCCACCGTTGACTCACGCACACCCAACACCTGTTCTCCCCAGCCCTCCTCACCTGGCCGTTTTGAGGCGTCCTGTGACAACTGAACCAGTGACAACTGAACCAGTGACAACTGAACCAGTGGACAACTGAACCAGTGGACAACTGAACCAGTGGACAACTGAACCAGTGACAACTGAACCACTAACCAGTAGCCCAGCGAGCAATTTTACTCCGGGCCCAAGCAGGCTGAAGTGCGGCTTGCCCGAGATTTTTAGTCGGGCTTAAGTCGGCTAGCGCTTGGACTAAAGTCGGCTAGCGCTTGGGCTAAAGGACACAAAAACGCCGACTTAAGCCTATGCTCTGCCGTAGGTATGCCCTCTGGGCCTCTCGGCGAGCTCAGGACAGCCGTTGTTTAGCCCTAGTTGTGCGACGTTTGGCGTAAGCCCGATGTAAGCACTAAGCCCGAGCAGTGAATCCATTTATATACCGGAGATTCCTCTGGGCCCAGGCGGGCTGAACTCTGCCAAGCCCACGTTGCGTGCCCTGTCTGTCCCGAGTACGTTAGGCCATCAAAGTGAATATTATTTATACGTTGCTAACTATTCGGGCGTCCCAGGTGGGCGTAACGGTTACCACACCAGTTCGCGACCACCAGGCTCTGTCAGCCCTGTCAGCCGCCGTACGGCTCTCGGACGGACACTCTAATAGATCGGACACAGATCAATTGGCAGACCGGCAGATTGGCACAGACCGTCCGTCCAGCCACGCGCTACCTTATACCTATACGAGTACAGCGCAGTACGACGTTAGTTGTCCACTGGTTCAGTTGTCCACTGGTTCAGTTGTCCGCTGGTTCAGTCGTCCACTGTTTCAGTTGCCATACTGGTTCAGTTGTCCACTGGCTCAGTTGTCACTGGTTCAGTTGTCACTGGTTCAGTTGTCACTGGTTCAGTTGTCACTGGTTCAGTTGTCATACTGGTTCAGTTGTCATACTGGTTCAGTTGTCACTGGTTCAGTTGTCACTGGTTCAGTTGTCACTGGTTCAGTTGTCACTGGTTCAGTTGTCACTGGCTCAGTTGTCACTGGTTCAGTTGTCCACTGGTTCAGTTGTCCACTGGTTCAGTTGTCCACTGGTTCAGTTGTCCACTGGTTCAGTTGTCCACTGGTTCAGTTGTCACTGGTTCAGTTGTCCCTGGTTCAGTTGTCACTGGTTCAGTTGTCGCTGGTTCAGTTGTCGCTGGTTCAGTTGTCGCTGGTTCAGTTGTCACTGGCTCAGTTGTCACTGGTTCAGTTGTCCCTGGTTCAGTTTTACTGGTTCAGTTGTCCCTGGTTCAGTTGTCACTGGCTCAGTTGTCTGCCTACCGAAAGTATCATTGCCAACATGCCCAAAGTGTGTGACCATATCCAAATCATGTCATACACGTATTCGGAGATCCTCTGTCTCCATAAACAAGCCATATCTGGGACAACTCAAGGCCCAGGCATATCGGCTCAATCCAGCCATAAATCAGCACAGAACACCAAAAATGGCGGAAACGACGCAAAAACGACACAACTGTAAAATGCCATCGAACGTAAATCTTCGCCTCTTTACAAAAAGACAAGTTGTTGGTGTCCATTATCCAGCATGCCTCAGACGATTCAAAGAAATTCGCTTCAAGGTCTAACAATCATCAATACTAATGTGACGAACCATGTGGCATACCGCGCCGTTAAAGAGTCCGCTGGATGCACTGGATGGTAGACGACTTCAGTTTGAAGTCACCATCTCAAACTCAAACCTACGACTTTCTTTTACATAATACAGAACAGCGCCTAACAGCGAACGTCCACTCACCAAGGCGACCTGCGCCCGTCAGGACATCCCTGACTCTCAGCGCGGCACGATCTCCCCTTCCCTCCCCCGCTGCACTCAACGGACCGTCTGAAGGCATCCTCCTCCCTCGGGTCACCCACCGTTGACTCACGCACACCCAACACCTGTTCTCCCCAGCCCTCCTCACCTGGCCGTTTTGAGGCGTCCTGAGTCCGTCGCGCCACGCCGTTTGTCTTTAGTGACCCGGTGTGCGCGGGCTCACTGGGATTCGGCCGCGGCTTGGCCATGTCACGGTGAACCATCTGAAACGGACACGGGACACGGAAATCAGCTGTGAGCACAATGTTGACACTTGTCAGGAGGAAGGACACATGCCATACGGACAGAGGCCAACAACGGATACAATCAATGCGAGCCTCGCATATAACAATGGCGAGAACGGTAACCGGACAAAAAGTCAAATGTATGAATGTAATACCTGCCATGCCCCGGCGAGGAGGTGCAATAAAGGCGAAATCCTGTCTCCTGAGCACCATTCTCCCAACACGCAAACACCAAGCGTTTCAGCTCGGCATCTATCGCCACCCCATCTGCCCAACCCCTGCTGAGAAGTGGCGAACCATCCCCTGTGACCCGGGTGACAATCCCACTCGGCTTCGCCCGTCAGCTCTCACGGCGGACGTCAGCTCAATACTCAGCCAATGATGACAAACGACCGTA